TCCTCTCTGCATGAATCCAACCCCTCTCCTCTGCATGAATCCCAACCCCTCTCCTCTCTGCATGAATCCCAACCCCTCTCCTCTCTGCATGAATCAACCCCTCTCCTCTCTGCATGAATCCCAACCCCTCTCCTCTCTGCATGAATCCCAACCCCTCTCCTCTCTGCATGAATCCCCAGACCCCCTCTCCTCTGCTGTCCCCCCCCCCCCTCTCCTCTCGCATGAATCCCCCCCCCCCACACCCCCTCTCCTCCAAACCCCTCTCCTCTCTGCCCCCCCCCTCTCTGCATGAATCCCAACCCCTCTCCTCTCTGCATGCAATCTGCACAACCCCTCTCCTCTCTGCATGAATCCCAACCCCTCTCCTCTCTGCATGAATCCCAACCCCTCTCCTCTCTGCATGAATCACAACCCCTCTCCTCTCTGCCCCCCCCCCCCCCCCCCTCTCCTCTCTGCATGAATCCCAAACCCCTCTCCTCTCTGCATGAATCCCAACCCCTCTCCTCTCTGCATGAATCCCAACCCCTTCCTCTCTGCCCCCCCCTCTCCTCTCTGATGAATCCCAACCCCTCTCCTCTCTGCATGAATCCCAACCCCTCTCCTCTCTGCATGAATCCCAACCCCTCTCCTCTCTGCATGAATCCCAACCCCTCTCCTCTCTGCATGGAATCCCAACCCCTCTCCCTCTCTGCCATGAAATCCCAACCCCTTCTCCTCTCTGCATGAATCCCAACCCCCTCTCCTCTCTGCATGAATCCCAACCCCTCTTCCTCTCTGCATGAATCCCAACCCCTCTCCTCTCTGCTGATCAATCTCTTCTGATATTCCCAACCCCTCTCCTCTCTGCATGAATCCAATCTCTCTGATAATCCCAACCCCTCTCTCCTCCTCTGCATGAATCCCAACCCCCTCTCCTCTCTGCATGAATCCCAACCCCTCTCCTCTCTGCATGAATCCCAACCCCTCTCCTCTCTGCATGAATCCCCCCCTCCTCTCTGCATGAATCCCAACCCCTCTCCTCTCTGCATGAATCCCAACCCCTCTCCTCTCTGCATGAATCCCAACCCCTCCCTCTCTGCTCCCTCTCTGCATGAATCCCAACCCCTCTCCTCTCTGCATGAATCCCAACCCCTCTCCTCTCTGCATGAATCCCAACCCCTCTCCTCTCTGCATGAATCCCAACCCCTCTCCTCTCTGCATGAATCCCAACCCCTCTCCTCTCTGCATGAATCCCCACCCCTCTCCTCTCTGCATGAATCCCAACCCCTCTCCTCTCTGCATGAATCCCAACCCCTCTCCTCTCTGCATGAATCCCAACCCCTCGCCTCTCTGCATGAATCCCAACCCCTCCTCTCCCTCCACCGCGCGCCCCTCTCTGCCGTCAGGGACGTGCACTCATCAGGCCTCAACGGCTCCATTCCCCTCGCCCTCACCCGCCTCTCGCGCCTCCACACGCTGTCAGTCGTTCTCCTTCTCCCCCCTCCTCTCTCTCTCCGTGTCTGGCCGATTAAACGTCGCCCTCTCCTTCACCTTCTCCTGCTTGCTCGCATGCGTTGCCCTCTCCTTCACCTTCTCCTGCTTGCTCGCATGCGTTGCCCTCTCCTTCACCTTCTCCTGCTTGCTCGCATGCGCTGCCCTCTGCCCATCTCCATCACACCCGCCACCCACCCTCCCCCCCCCCCCCCCCCCCCGCCACACCCCTTCCCCCCCCGGCATGCAGCGATCTGCAGTTCAACGATCTGTGGGGCCCTGTGCCGCCCGCCCTCTCCACCCTCGCCCGCCTGCACACGCTGTGAGGCACCCTGAGGGGAGCGCCCTGTGCAGCACCCCGCACCCTGCACCCTGTGAAAGGGAATGCACCGTGTGCCTGTGAGGGGGTTAGGGCCTGGGTTGGGGATGCTGTGCGTTGCGCCTTGCGTGGGACGAGCCCTGTGCATGCGGTGCTGAAGGGCGCTGCTAAATACGCCATATCATATGTGCGTGTGTCTGCGCGCATGCATGTATGCATGTGTGTGTGCATGTGTGCATGTGTGTGTAAGTGCGTGCGTGCGTGCGTGCGTGTGTGTGTGTGCATATTTGAGTGCATGTGTGTGTGTGCATGTGCGTTGTGTGCATGTTTGAGAGCATGTGTGCATGTGTGTGTGTACGTGCATGTGTGTGTGTGCATGTTTAAGTGCATGTGTGTGTGTGCATGCTTATGTGCACGGGTGCATGTGTGTGTGCATGTGTGTGTACGCCCATGTGCCTGCAGGGACCTAAACCGCAACAACTTCACGGGCCCTATTTTCAACGTCGTGTCCAACATGCCATCGCTAGTCGACCTGTAACACCTGAATCTACCTGCCCTGTAACACCTGAATCTACCTGCCCTGTAACACCTGAATCTACCTGCCCTGTAACACCTGAATCTACCTGCCCTGTAACACCTGAATCTACCTGCCCTGTAACACCTGAATCTACCTGCCCTGTAACACCTGAATCCACCTGCCCTGTAACACCTGCATCTACCTGCCCTGTAACACCTGAATCCACCTGCCCTGTAACACCTGAATCTACCTGCCCTGTAACACCTGAATCCACCTGCCCTGTAACACCTGAATCTACCTGCCCTGTAACACCTGAATCCACCTGCCCTGTAACACCTGCATCTACCTGCCCTGTAACACCTGAATCCACCTGCCCTGTAACACCTGAATCTACCTGCCCTGTAACACCTATCAGTCGATGCTCTCCGTGCCTTGCCCTCTCCTCTCCTCTCACTTTCTCCCCCTCTCCCCCTCCCACGCTATCCCCTCGCCCTACCCCCCCCCAGCAAGCTCTACCACAACCGTTTCACAGGGCCCATCCCGCCCGCCATCTCGCGCCTGCACCGACTAACCCACCTGTCAGTCGCCCTCGCTTGCCATTCCCCTCTCCCCCCCTCCCCGGCACGAGTCCGCCAATTTCTCCCTTCCTCCCCTCGCTTTCTCTTGCCAATCCTCTTCTTTGGGGTCTCTTTTCGTCTCACTATACACTTGGCTTCCCCCTCTGCTTCTCTCCACTCGCCCTCCTGTCCCCCCAACCTGCCCCCAGCGATATCGACTCCAACAACTTCCAAGGGCCGCTGCCACCCGCCTTCGGCCGTCTCAAAGCACTGTCTTACCTGTATGCCTCTCTTACCTGTACGCCTCTCTTACCTGTACGCCTCTCTTACCTGTACGCCTCTCTTACCTGTACGCCTCTCTTACCTGTACGCCTCTCTTACCTGTACGCCTCTCTTACCTGTACGCCTCTCTTACCTGTACGCCTCTCTTACCTGTACGCCTCTCTTACCTGTACGCCTCTCTTACCTGTACGCCTCTCTTACCTGTACGCCTCTCTTACCTGTACGCCTCTCTTATCTGTACGCTTGTCGCGCCTCTTCCCTCTTGCCTTGGCCCTCTCTCACCTCTTTCCTGAAGATCCCATGCCATGCCATGCCATGCCATGCCCTCCCAGGAGCTTGTCGGCGATCGGCCTCTCTGGCTTGCTGCCCGAAGCCATCAGTGGGCTCACTGCCTTGCAATGCCTGTAACGCATGCCTCGCTGTTCTGCACAGCCTGTAACGCATGCCCTCACCTCGCTGCGAAGCCTGTAGCACATCGCTGGATCGCAACCACGATTCTAGTCATTGTACCGCCTCTGGTGCCTTCCATCGCCGCCTGCATGCCAGTGCCGTGGCATGACCGTGCTTGCGTCCTCCGTGCGCCTCTCGTTGCACGTGTCCCTCCCATTGCGTGCGTGTGCCTCTCTGTGTGCGTGTGCCTCTCTGTGTGCGCTGCACTGCACTGCACCCACCAGCTACGCATCCGCCAACACCATCACAGGCAGCATCCCCACGGCCCTCGCTGCCCTCCCCCGCCTCAAGATCCTGTGAGTGGCCACCGCGCCTCGGACATCTCACTCCCCCAGCTCTTGCTCCTCAGCGCCCCGCTGCTGCGCTCGCTCTCGCTCTCGCTCTCACTCTCCCTGCCCTGCTGTGCTTCTGGGGAGGCGTGCATGAGACCACCACACCACACAGTCACCAACGCCCTTGGGAAGCACAGCAGCCTCAGGGGCAGCAGCCCCTCAGGCAAGGGGAGGGGGGGGGGTGAGCATCTACAACGCAGAGTCTTTGCGAGCCCTCCCAACACTACCCCACCCCGCCACCCCCCCTCCCCTCCGTCCCCATGCCTCTCAGGTCTCTGAGTCAGAACCCCATCACGGGCTCTCTGCCTGACGCCCTCTCCCGCCTCACCGCCCTCGAACACCTGTCAGACCCCCACCCAACCCCCTTCTTCCTCCCCACTGCAACGCCTGTCATGAGACTCCATTTTGCACTCACTCCTTCACTCCGCACCGCTCTGCTCCACCTCTCATCCCTCTACCTTCCAACCCTCCTACGTCCCGCTCACTCCACGCCTCACATTCCCCTCCCATCCGATTCCATCCTTCATCACCATCCCCACTCCCCTCCCCCCCTCCCTCCTCCCCGTCAGCACGCTCAGCGAAACCAGCATCACGGGTCAGCTGCCACGCTCCCTCTCCGCCCTCACCCGCCTCACCACCCTGTGCGGCCCTCCCTCTCGCATGCTCCCACGTGGCTCATGCTTCCCACCCATGCCCTCTGCATTAACCCATTATGCGAGCAGTCGTTGCTTCATCCATCCTCATTTGCTTCCTTTCACCCAAACCAGGTTACCATTTGTCGACTTGCACACCTTTACCGAATCTCCTGTCATTGGCATTCACATTAACCACATTCCCACCTCTCAACTTCTTCTCCTCCCTTTCCTCTCTAACCGTCTTTCTCATGGCCCTCGTTCACACTACCCTCCTTCTCCTCCCTTTCCTCTTTCCTCCCTTCGCATTCACACAAACCACATCCCCACCTCTCATCTCCCTCTCCTCCCTTTCCTCGTCCTCAAACATGAACCCCATTCAGTGACTTGCTCAACATGAAGCTTCAAGGAAGCATCCCCGCCACTTTTGGAGCCCTCACTAACCTTGTGTCCTTGTGCGAATGCCTCGTCCCTCGTTCAGCCCCCTTTGAGTCGCCTCGTCCCTCGTTCAGCCCCCTTTGAGTCGCCTCGTCCCTCGTTCAGCCCCCTTTGAGTCGCCTCGTCCCTCGTTCAGCCCCTTGCAATTTTCAGCTCTTGCCGCACCCCCTTCAACATTTCTCCTCTCCCATTCAACCACTATGTTCCTTGTGGGTAGCTATACACATCTATATTGTGAATATATTTTCGCAAGCTCCTCCGTATGTGTTTTATTAGGTACTCGAGTCACATATCGTTGTGTGTTAATGTGTGTACCCACACACACATATGCGCGCTCACATTTCTCCGAAATTATTAACATCTCTTGTGTTTCTTCCCTTCCGACCCTGTCATGTTATACAGATACTTTTCCGGCGCAACCTGTCCACTCGAGGGCAGCTGTGAAATTAATCAGAACCGTTCATCTGTGTTCTGCAGAATCTGCTCAACCTTCTGCTCCTCATGCATCCCAATCAATGGTCAGGATCACATCAAACATGCATCTTCCGAGTAATGCTTGTAGCTCTCACGAGTCCACTCCTCACAATCCCCACCTTCAGTGCACAGAACGAACAGCTAACATTTCCCCCCCTCCCCCCCTCTTCCGCTCAAAATCTCTTTCCATTCATCATTCCCGCATCCCCATCCCCTCCCCCAGCACCGCTCCGCAGTCCCCTCCCCCATCCCCTCCTCCCCCTCCGCCGTCCCCCTCCCCTCCCCGCCTCCCCCCATCATCCCCCTCCTCCTCGCCCCCCCTTCCCCGCCTCCCCCTCCGCCCTCCTCCCTTCCCCCCTCCGCCATTGCCGGTGCAGCAGTGGGGGCGCTGCTGCTGCTGCTGGCGGCGGTGGTGGGGGGTGGGGGTGTGGAGGTGGAGGAAGGGGAGGCAGAGAGGGGGAGAGGATGCAGGTGCGCCCATGCTCAAGCCCCCTCCGTGCCCTCGCATACCCCTTGCTGACGTCATCCGGGCCACCAATGGGTGGGCAGAGGGGCGGAGGGTGGGGGGAGGCAGGTGGAGTGACGTGTACAGGGGGGAGGTGGGGGAGGGGCGGAGGGGTGGGAGGGGAGGGAAGGCGAGAAGGATGGGGGGAAGGATGGGGGAAGGATGGGGAGAAGGATGGGGGGAAGGATGGGGGGAAGGATGGGGGGAAAGATGGGGATGGGACAGGAGGAGAGATGAACCAGGAAGGGGCGGAGGAGGGGGTAGGGCCGCAGGGGCGGCAAGGGGAGGGTGCAGGGAGGGGGGGAGTGCGGGGCCGGAGGGGCGTGTGGGCGGTGAAGCGCATGGGGGGGCGGGGCTCAGCGCCTCGTTTGAGGCTCACGTGCATGGCTTGGCGCGCCTGGCGCACCCCAACGTGCTCCGCCTGCTGGGGTGGTGCTGGGAGGGAAGGGGGGGGAGGGGGCATGCGGGGAGGGAGGTGGGAGGGAGGGGGGATTTATGGGGGAGTGCAGAGGGAAGGAGGGGAGGGAGGAGCAGGAGGGGAGGGAGGAGCAGGTGGTGGTGTACGAGTGGATGGAGCACGGCAGCCTTGAGATGATGCTGCAGTCGCCAGGCGCCAGCCCCCTGTCGCTGCGGCAGCGCGTGGACATCCTTGTGGGCGTGCTGAGGGCGCTCAAGGCGGTGCAGAGCCACGGGCTGGTGCACGGCGACCTCAAGCCCAGCAACGTGCTGCTGGGGGCCGCCTACGAGGTGAGACTCATGGGCGCTGCTCGGTGCGGCGCACGAGGTGCGTGAGGTGGTCAGCGCTCGCACGTGCGCATCACTGCTCCTCCAGCAGCTCCATTCCGCCACATCCGCGCCCAGACGACCCTCCCCTTGCCCCCCCTGCCACACTCCTCCCGTGCGCCTCTCCCCTCCCCCTCTCCCCCAGCCCCGAGTGGGCGACTGGAGCCTGGTGCGCATGGGGCAGCGCGTGCACGTAGACATGGGGGGGAGAGGGGGGCGGGGAGCCGGGGAGGACATGGGGGAGGGGGGCGCAGCGGAGGCGGGGGAAGGATTGGGAGGGCAGCAGGAAGGATCCCTGACAGGCGGGATCAGGGAAGACAGCGAGGGGGGGAGCAGGGGTGGCAGCAGTAGCAGCAGTGGGCATTGGACCGAGAGAAGCAGGAATGGTGTCAGCGCTGGTGGCGTGGGGCAGGCGAGTGTGCTGCGGTGCACGGAGGGGCATGTGGATCCCATGGTCCTGCAGAGCGGCCTTGCCACCGCCACAGCTGACATGTACAGGTGGGTGCGCCACAGCAAGCAGTATTTCGGTTGGATTGCCATTGCACCACATGTATTACTCTCAGGTATGTTTCCAGAATAAGTCATGTGCATTAACTGCAATCACTCCCTCCTCTTCCCACAACCCCCCTGCGTGCCCTCGCCAGTGTGGGCGTGGTACTGCTGCAGCTGCTCACGGGGTGGGCTGCTCCGTTCAAGCTACTGGATGGGCAGCGCACGCACATTTGTGACTGGGTGAGTCCGGGCACGGCATGACATGGTGTGGTTGTGGCGAGACGATGATGGTTGTGGTGATGGTGCAGGCACAGTGTGCATTGAGCTTGCACTCTTGTTGACACTGCATGCAATGCGTCAAACGGCATGCCTCATGTTGTATCCGCTGAATCTCTCTCGCTCACACGGCCCTTCTTCCCCATCTCCCTTGCCCCTTCGCACTGCTTCACTCCCCATCCCTCCCCCTGCCCACCTCTCCCCTGCTCCCCTCCCCCACGCTCAGGCCCAGCAGCATGTGACAGCAGGCGACGTCTCTCCTCTCCTCGACCCACTCCTGCCGCACCCTGCACCCCCTCCCTCCCTCCCCCTCTCCCTCTTCCACCTCGCTCTCTCCTGCGCCTCCCCCTTCCCCTCCTCCCGCCCCACGCCCTCCTCTGCCCTGCTCGCCCTCAAGCCCCTCCGCGCCTCGCTCCAGGGAGGGCGGACAGGCACAGGGGAGGGGGGAGAAAGAAGGGAGGGTGGGGAAGATGGTGGGAGGGGCAGAGCAGCGGGGGATGGAGCGGGCTGTTTGGGGGGGGTGGTGGTGCAGGTGCGAGTGGGGGGTTCAGCGGTGGTGCGCTGGGGCGCAGGCTGGCAATGCTGGGCGCCGAGGACAGCCGGGAGTTCGTGGTGTAGACCAAGGTGGGGGGGGGGTGGGGGAGGCGTTATCTGCCCATGTCGCTGTCTTTCCCGTGTGCCTGGGCTGCGTGAGCTGGGAGGTGTTTGCACAACACAACTTTTATTGTCACTCTTCTCTGCTACACTGGAACTTTTTATCTGATCTGATCCGATCTGATCTGATCTGATCGGATCTGATCTGTATACCATGTACCCAGTGCTTGTCTTCTCCTGGACTTACTTGGCCATACGTCATCTCTTGGTGATTCATTAGAGTATGCCTTGTGTGCACCACAATATTTACTACCATGTCTCCACTAGTATCAACGAGACGCAACACAAGCAGTTCACTGGTGACAGCGGCTTGGAGCCGTAAGCATAGGTGACGGCCCCTGGGAATTGTCGAGGCAGTGGTGGCGGACCGTGGCAGTGGTCTAGGCGCTGGGGACGGTGACCTCGACCTCGATGCCGGGCTCGATGCTGATGGAGGTGATCTGCTTCACCACCTCGGACGGGCTCACCAGGTAGATCACGCGCTTGTGCACCCTAAGCTCAAACGTGTCCCACGTGTTCGTTCCTAAGGAGGGGAGGAGGGGCCGGGGGGGGGGAGGGGGGGGGAAGGGAAAGGATAGAAGATGAGTGATAGCAACAAAGAATGGAAGCGGCGGGCCCAGCTGTCGAAGGCCAACGGCAAGTGAGCGGCAAGGAGGAGCGAGGAGCCCGGTTGAGGCCAGTGGATGGTGCGCGTGGAACAGAGGAGCAGGGCAGTCCTGGCACCAGACGCATGCTGCCTCTTGTTCTTTCCATCTCCGATCGTGCAGGGGCATCTCGCACGATTCACATACCATGCGTTTCCCTCCCTTTGTTGCCGGCTCAAGAGCCCAGGCCTACTCGGCTGTGTTTCATCTGCAATTCACAACCAGCCATGCGACTCGGGCGACTCACCGTTGCCGCAGGGCGACTTGCGCGTGGTGTGGCGGAGCACCTTGGTGGGCATGCGCACGGGGCCCTTCACCTTGATCCGCTTCTCCTTGGCGCCGCGCACCAGGTCCGCGCACACTGAAACGCGCGCAAGCAGGGCGCGCGGAACAAAGCGAGGCATGGGAGGGAGTGAGGGAAGAGACGGAAACGAGAAAAGGAAAATGAGCATGGAGCAGTTTAAGATAAGCGCGCGAAACAGCGGAGGGTGGAAACGGTCGCAGCCATGTAAACGCTCGAAAGCTCGTGGCAGTCCATCGCCGCCGCTGTGGAGCGAACAGCGGGCCGCATCAGTCTATCGCCCTAGGCTGAACCAAGCCCGAAACCCCGCCTCAAGGCAGTACCAGGATCGCCCCGAGGGCAGCGAACGCACACTGAATGTCACGCGCCAATCAGGAATAGAAGGAGATGGCAGGGATGAAAAGACAGCACTCGGTAAAATCCAGCGCGCAAATCCGACACCAGCACATCGCACCCAACGGCCGCAGGCAACAGGCAACATGCACGAATTCACGCGTTGCGAGGACTAACCCTTCTCGAGGCTCTTGACGTTGTTCATGCAGCTGAGCGTGATGCGGATGTTATGCACCTGCTGCTCCACCGGGGTCTCCTCCAGCCCCGCCTTCGCGGACTTCACGGGCGGCGGCACGCCTGCCATGATGCCTTCGCTAGCTGACCTGGACGAAACGAGAAAAGGGACACCATGGTTTGCTGGCCCGCTCGCTAACTTCCGCCGCTGATCGGCATTCACTGGGACCCACGCCTTGAGCCGTCGATCACATGGCGGAAAATCGCACTGGTTGGATTGGTTGCTTCGACATCCGCCGAAAGCACAAAGGCATACTACCAGGAAAGGCACGCGAACGTTCTTACTTGTCTTAGATTGTCGAGCGCACCCCCGAGACAGACGCCGGAGAACCGACCGCTTGCTGAGGGGTTTAGCAAAGAAAGTGTAAGAACGTGAAAGGAAGAACGAGGGAGGGCGCGAGACTCTTACACTGGCGGGGAGGAGGTTGGGGGGAAGATCGCCAGCACGCTGGATCCTCTCTAAAAGTGGACCATGATAACAGCAAATCAATGTGAGTCGTAAATTCCGTGAACACTACATTCGTTACATCAGCTAACTTAGAGAGTGAAACCATTTCTCCCAAACAATTCGGTGGTCCAGCAGCACTTTTGCATAAAAGCAAATGTGTTTGCATTTCCCGTACAATCACCTTGGTAATGCTACTGTTACAAGTAACTTCTCCCGAACATCAGGAGACAGGATTCATTTTCGCCTTTACCGTGCTGGATTTCCGCACGTGAGCACTCGAACTGCCGTTGGATGACGGACAGGTATCTTTCAGGTGCATTCTGACGTGGACCGGCAAAAGTGCCCTGGTTTCCTTGCTCCTTGGGCAGCGGGCAAATTTCTGATGACAGATTCGGCCGCCTCCGCCACCTCAGCTTCCCGCTTCCTTGCTGGAGCCCGCTTGCGGCCACATCCTGTGAGAAGGTTCCTTGCCCCGTGGGAAGCCCCAAGAGCCGCGCTCGTTACAGTCACATCCCCGTCAGCCCAGGGAATAAGATGCATGCCCATCGTCTCACAACTCCCTTTTCCTTTTCCCAACTCTTTTCTTTTCGTACAACCCTAGTCTCGCGTCAAGTTAGTTATCTTGGCACCCGCCCGACTCGTTTACGCATAACTCGGAAACGCTAAGTAGTCTCGAACCCTGAGCAAACCCCTCTTTGGGATTCTCAGATCTTTTCTTTCCCCAGCGAGCGAGCATGGCTGCCTTGGAGCTGTCCGCCGTGTCGTCGCGTCTAACCGCCGTGGACGCTACCGGCATCGTTCAGAAGACCACTACCCTCAACGCCAAACCCGCATTCTTCGGGACTTCCGTTCGCCACACCGCTAACGCGCCATGCCAGCGCCGCTCGCGAGCCGCGCGTGCCGAGGCTCCCTCCGAGGGCGCGAAGGCGGGCGTGGCGAGCCGGCCGGCCGTGTCGCAGGACGCAGACTTGGCGCTGCAGAGCCAGCGCGTGAGCAGCGGCAAGTCGCTCGTGGCGCCCACGCCCAAGGGGTTCGTGTCGCGGTACGGCGACAACGAGCCGCGCAAGGGCTGCGACATTCTCGTCGAGGCGCTCGAGCGCGAGGGCGTCCGCACGCTCTTCGCGTACCCTGGCGGCGCGTCGCTGGAGATTCACCAGGTACGCGTTTCTATTCAGAATCTACGGGCGCTCCTTGGAAAAGCATCTCTTGTAGTTCTCGTCTCCTCGCATATTACGCCTCCTGCGCCGTTCGCTGTTCCCCCGTTTGCCGTTTGTCGGCATTGCCGGCGAAACTGCACCAGAGCTGATGACTTTTCAAAGAAAGATCTTCCCTCGCCAAAGACGGCACTTTTTGGCGACGGCAAACCCTAATCACCGCCTCCCCGTTCTTCCCCGCGGAACCTCCTCCCCCCACCCCGGCAGGCGCTGACCCGGTCCGACAACATCCGCACGATCCTGTGCCGCCACGAGCAGGGCGAGGTGTTCGCCGCCGAGGGCTACGCCAAGGTGTCGGGGCGCGTGGGCGTGTGCATCGCGACGTCGGGGCCCGGCGCGACGAATCTGGTCACAGGGCTGGCGGACGCCATGCTGGACTCGGTGCCGCTGGTGGCCATCACGGGGCAGGTGCCGCGGCCGTTCATCGGCACGGACGCGTTCCAGGAGACGCCGATCGTGGAGGTGACGCGCTCCATCACGAAGCACAACTACCTCGTCATGGACGTCGACGACATCCCGCGCATCGGTGAGCCGCTCTCTACGATTCTCCAAGATCTCCCTGAACGACATCCCACGCGCCCGTGAGTTGAGAGCGAACGCGCGCTCCTCCTTTACGCGTCGGTGAGCCTTTTGAGTCGACTCGAACATTACCAAGCACAACTGCCTCGTCATGCTCGGCGACGATATTCCGGGCGTCTGTGAGAGCTCGTTTCAAGATTTTTCGAAGATCTCTCACAACGACATCCCGTTGGCGAGCCGCCTCCAGAACCGAGAGCCATCACGTCAGTGCGTCATGTATCTTGCGGAAATACCCAAGATTCATATAAAGCAGTTGAGGACTCGTGGATCTTTTCAGTGCCACACGTCTTCCTCTCCATTTGACTGGCCTTCATGCTCTACCAAGCGCACGCGCCTCTCTCCTCATCCACCCTCCCCGCCCCGCACTCTTCCGCCTGCCTTCCCTCGGGTCCCCCTCCCCCTCCGCCCCCCTTCCCCCAGTGCGTGAGGCGTTCTTCCTGGCGGCGTCCGGCCGGCCCGGGCCGGTGCTGATCGACGTGCCCAAGGACATCCAGCAGCAGCTCGCGGTGCCCTCCTGGACCCAGCCCATGCGCCTCAACGCCTACCTCTCGCGCCTCCCGCCGCCGCCGCAGCGCGCGCAGGTCGACCAGATCGTCCGCCTACTGCGCTCCGCCAAGCGCCCCGTGGTGTACCTAGGCGGCGGCTGCCTGCACGCGGCGGACGAGGTGCGCGAGTTCGCGCGGCTGGCGGGCGTGCCGGTGGTGTCGACGCTGATGGGGCTGGGCGTGTACGACCAGTCGGCGCCCGACGCGCTGCACATGCTCGGCATGCACGGCACCGTGTACGCCAACTACGCCGTCGACTCCTCCGACCTGCTGCTGGCGTTCGGCGTGCGATTCGATGATCGCGTCACCGGCAAGCTCGACGTGAGTGCGCGCCGCTTTCCAGCTTGCTGCCTTGTCATGCAGTCTGTGTTGAGTGCTTTAGCTTCCCCTCAACCTCTCCCCGCAACGCTGCCACACGGAAGAGCGAACTCTGTCCGTGCTGGGTGTGTCCCGTCACTCCTTCACTCTCTCCCGTCCTCCGTGCCGCTTCTCCCCCCTTTCGCCCTTCCACCAGGCATTCGCGGCGCGCGCGTCGATAGTGCACATCGACATCGACCCGGCGGAGATTGGGAAGAACAAGGAGGCGCACGTGAGCATGCACGCGGACGTGCTGCCGGCGCTGGCGCTGATCAACGACGCCATCAAGGAGGAGGCGGCGGCGGGCCGCCCGCTGCCGTCGTACGCCGAGTGGCGCGACGAGTGCATGGCGCAGAAGGCGCAGTGGCCGCTCAAGTACCCGCAGGTGAGGCGCAAGCACGACGCGGATGCTGCGGAAAGAATGAGATCTCGTGGAACAAGACGAGATGGTTTGGATCCCGAACAAGGCAGCGAAAAACCTCTCTACGATTACAACATGCGTGAGGAGTCTATTTTTGAGGCGCCTCAAAAATAGACATCTCGTGGAACAAGACGAGATGGTGTGGATCCCGAACGAGGCACCAAGTGCACCATTGCTGTGGTTTGGTTTGGGTGTCCCAAGGCCACGATTGGAGCAGTTTTCTGGGTGGTGGGCCCGAGGGCAGGTGAATGCATGGTAGCTGCGCCGTGATAGGACGTGGCGTCTGGTTGGATGCATGGTAATGTGAAGCGGACCCCTGACGGGATGTGCTGGGCTGGGTGATGCTGCGGTAGCAGCTGAGTTCTCCACCGCCCGTCCCTGCTTGCCATTCAGTGCAGTCAACATCTTACTGTGCTTGTCAGCCAATCCCGCCCTCACGCCTCATCCATTCCCCTCCGAAGCTCAACCCCCCTCCATGCACCCTCAAACGCCCTCTTGGCAACTTGCCATCCTTTCCCGGGCCGGGGGGAGGCAATAGAGGTGCTGTGCGACATCACGGTCACGATCACGCAGGGCGAGGCTTCTACCGCCCACTCGTTGCTCTCCTGCCCACTCTCCCTCATCTCCCTCATCTCTCTCACATGCAATTACCACTTCCAGGTATCAGACGCCATCCTCCCCCAGGAGGCCATCGACATGCTGTACGGCATCACTCGGGGCGAGGCGACCTCCACCCCTCTCCTCACTCCCCGTCCCTCTCTCCCAACCCCCCCCCATGCCGCCCTCTTTCTCCAACCTGCCAGGTGTCAGACGCCATCCTCCCCCAGGAGGCCATTGAGATGCTGTACGACATCACCAAGGGCGAGGCGGTGATCGCCACCGGGGTGGGGCAGCACCAGATGTGGGCGGCGCAGTTCTTCAAGTACACGCAGCCGCGCCGCTGGATCACCTCGGGCGGCCTCGGCTCCATGGGCTTCGGCCTGCCGTCCGCGCTGGGCGCCATGGCGAGCAAACCGGACCTCCCGGTGATTGACATCGATGGGGACGGGTCGTTCATCATGAACGTGCAGGAGCTCGCCACCATCACCGCGGAGAAGCTGCCCGTGAAGATCATGATCCTCAACAACCAGCACCTGGGCATGGTGGTTCAGTGGGAGGACCGCTTCTACAAGGTACGGCAGGGGAGGTTTTGGGGGTAAGGGGGTTAAGGTTTGGGGTTTTGTGGATGGGGGGGGGGGGGGGTTGGGGTAAAGGGGTAGGGAACGGGGTGTGGATGTGTGGGAGGTGTTTCACATGGCGGGATTTCACATGGCGAGTCTGGAAGGGGACATGGGGGTGCAGAGAGGCAATGGATGGCAGTGGCATGGTGACCATGGCCACTCCCTACGTACACGGCATACCCATGGGATCATGCGGGAGAGGTCGAGGTTGGATTATGGGAAGTGAAGAAACATGCAGTGAAGGAGGAAAGGAGAGTGCAGTTGTAGACACTTCGGGACAGAATCATTCGTCCCACAATCCTTCGCACCCTAAACCAAACCACCCTCCCACGCTCCCCCCTCTCCCCCTTCCCTGTAGGCGAACCACGCACACACGTTCCTGGGGCTGCCCGACAACGAGGAGGAGATCTTCCCTGACTTCACCAAGTTCGCCGCTGCCTGCAAGGTGCCCGCGGAGCGAGTCACACGCAAGGCGGACCTGCGGGGCGCGCTGGAGCGCATGCTGGCAGCGGAGGGGCCGTACCTGCTGGACATCATCGTGCCGCACCAAGAGCACGTGCTGCCCATGATCCCGGGCGGCCGGACGTTCAAGGATATTATCACGGAGGGAGATGGCCGGCAAGAGTATTAATGGAGGGGATGGTGGGGGGCCAGTAGGGTACACTCTATACGAGCCCCAGCTGAGGGAGATGTTGGGCTTGGGTTAAGGGTGTCTTTTGGGTTGCTTGCTTGTGTGTTTGTTCCTTCTGCTTAGGGATGTATGCTTGTTGAATTTGCGCTGTAGATCTTGTCCATTATTTCAGACGTTACGTGCACGCACCACGTAAGGAATGAGTAATTCCTTACTGAGACTTGCTACAGGGCGTACGATTCGAACAGTCCCGAACCATCGCCAGGGTTCCAGACCTTTCAGTTCGAGCCTCCTGGGCCTTTCCGGACCTTGCTACAACACATCGAGACCCTTCGATACCTTTCCCGATCCTTCCGCTTCCTACGTCCAGGATCATCCTAGGCTTTCTATATATTGTATTGTCTTTCATTTTATTGTCATTCACGCATTCTCAGTTTCTCCCTTGCCCTCCGCGCTACTAGGCAGTCCCATTCATAACACACCATGTGCATGATGAATCTAAGCCAGTGTCTGAAGTAAAACAAATTCTGAGGGGCGTCACAGGAAGGTACCGTTCTTAGAACGGTTAGAGGGCATAAACTCTCGGTTCTGCAACGTCCCGAAACCTTACGCTCAACTCCAGACAGACACCCCTGCATGGATGGTGTTTTCGGTCTCAGCATGATGAAAGTAGCAACGAAGGGGACGAGGTTCTCACGCAGTTGTTAGAGGGGTTAGCGACCGTGACGCGAAGAAGCTCCTTTTGGTAACATGAATCTTGTTGACCAGTCGTCGCATGTCGGTGGTTACACCAGAAAGCCCCTGTTTCTGTGCACCACGAAAGCGAGTTGTCGCAGAGAGTGTGCGAACGAGCAATAGTGAGCAGCCTGTCCGACCAGCTGTGTTTGCGACTTTGTCGCTCCACCACGACTGGCTTGGACCTTTCGTTAGCTGTCGGGTCAATCGCAGAGCAGCAAGGAAAGACCTCGAACCCCAGATGTGTGGTTTGACGGCGCTATTCCGCGCCGCTCGGTGGGCAGACCGCGGGTGGAGTCTGTCCTCCCAGGGCTGGGTTTTTAGGTCAGTCGGCCAATCTACCCTGGTGGAGGCACCACAGCACTCCACTAAATGAAGCTCCAATTTTGCCTCTTAAAGTTGCTTTTGATACCTGAAGTGGGTGAAATTACTCGCCCAGTGGGGGTCCTGTCTGGTGGACCCTCGGGTCGTGCTCTAAGATCCGAGGCTAGAAAAAAATTGCCTCGGGTCTTGCGGAAAACTGACGGCTCCCGCCAGTCAGCTGTCAAGCTGAACAACTAGTAATGTCGCACGAATGAACTTCCACCAATCATAAACTCGCAAATCTCTGGTGGACTCGCAAATTTCTGGTGGACTTGCTAAGTTCTGCACCGTTAAGAAAAGAAAACCCGCAGTTAGATTGTGACAGCCCGCGGCTCCTTCAGCTGCGGGTCATTTCCGGGTCCGATACTCGCTTTAGAATACGCCCTGAATTGGTTCGAAGGGGCACCTGCTCCTTTTTGACCCACACCCGCACCGTCCACCAAACCCTGAGAGGAGAAATCCCCTCGCTCGCCCCTGCCCCCAGATTCATTTCGGCGCTCCGCGACTCGCCATTGGACAAAGCGAAGCCCCTCACCAGCCCCCCTCCCCCCTCGCACGCCATGACGGATTGCCCCTCCCCCGTGGCAACTTCGCGAGCAAGCCTCGGGCAGCGAGCGACTGGTAAACTCGTCCTTTTTTCCACCTCCGGTTGCCTTGCCTCGCATGAGCAGCAGTGCGCTGTGATCGCCACTTTCGCGCTCGCAATTGCCACTGCGCTTGCTTCAAGCAGAAGTTCTGCCTCTCCCTGTCTCGCCGTTACATGGACTCGATAAAGCTCGGATCTTGAGCGACCACCCTAATCGCCAGGAATATCCGACGCCCTTACTTCATGCTCAACATCGCGACTTCTGCTGGCACATATCAATTTCTCGAGCGCAGCTTTCGGTAGACTCGATCAAAGGTCGCAGCGACTCGATGAGCACTCTAGAGCTCCGATGCTTGCCGCTGCTAGTCGCATTCCTATGGATCGCCGAAAGTCACGCCGTTCGAGGTATGCCCATGCGCTTCCCTTCGTGTATCGGGGGTACTTATATCGGGGTCCTTTCAGCCCTATACAGCCTCCCTCGCGTGCCGTCGCCGCAGCTCTCTCTACGTCGGATCCTTCGCACGCTGTCACGCTTGGGCGTTCTCGCGCCCATGCGAGTAGGACTTAGATTCCCGCGACGTGTTCGATTCCCATCCAACACGTCGTGCGCGGTCGCCCTCTCTTCTTGCGCATTTTCACTCCCAGCCCCCCCAAAACTCCGTTCTTTCCCCTCGCCCCTTCTTCCTCTCGCATTTTCTCTCTCTCTCCCCCCCCCAGTGGCATCCGCCAGCAACCCCCTCTACATCGTCCGACTCCGCTCCGCGCCTCCCATTTCCGCATACCGCGGCGGAATTCCCGGATACCCAGCGACAGCCGCATGGGGCGATGACCCCGACGACGACGACGAATCGTCTGACGGCCTTGTCGCCACGGCCGCCAATGCCGCCGTCGCTGCCGCTGCAACCGCCGACGCTACCGCCGCGAGCTCTAACGGTTCCAGCGGGCCCTTCGCCACCGCCGCGTCCGCACGTGTCTCCGCCGCCGCCGCCGCCGCGGGGGCAAGCAACCAGCGTCCGCGCATCAACATGCGCGCGGCGCACGTGATGGCGTTCGCGCAGCTGCTGCAGCGGCAGCAGGCGCAAGTCGCCGCCGACGCGAGCATCGCGGCGAGCCAGGTGCTCTACAACTTCCAGCAGACCACCAACGGGTTCGCGGCGCCGCTCACCCCCGCGCAGCTGCAGAGATTAAAGCGCCACCCATCCGTGGCGTCGGTGCGGCGCTCCCGCGTGTTCCGCAAGCTGACGACCGCGTCGCCCACGTTCCTGGGGCTGCCCAGCACCGTGTGGCCCGCCGTGGGCGGGCGCAGCAAGGCGGGCGCGGGGACCGTGATCGCGATCATCGACACGGGCGTATGGCCGGAACACCCGTCGTTCAGCGGGGCGGTGCGTCACAGGGCGGGGACGGGGAGCGGGGACGGGGAGCGGGGAGGGGGAGCGGGGAGGGGGAGCGGGGAGGGGGAGTGAAGCATGCTAGTGTGCGCGTCTCAAACTTCCTTCTTCCAGCGCCACGCCGCATATTGCTTGGTGCTCAACCCCTCCAGCTTGCCCCCATCCATTCATCCTCCCCTCCCGCTGCAGGGCTTTGCAACGTCGCGCCCCGCGGGGTGGGTGGGCAAGTGCCAGACGAGCGCGGACTTCCCGTCATCGGCGTGCAGCAACAAGCTCATCGGCGCGCGGTACTTCGCGGCGGGCTTCCAGAGCGAGAATGGACGGCCGGATCTGACTTATGACTGGCTCTCCCCTCGCGACGCTGCCGGCCATGGCACCTGGTGTGCGGGGTGAGTTGATGCAGATTCGTGTTCGCATGCTCTCCCTGCACCCCTCTCTCTGTCGCCCTCTCCCTCTCACTCTCCCCCCCTCCTCTCAGGATGCTCCTTATCCCTTTCTTCCTCTACTCACGAGAACCACGTCGCCCCGCGCATCCCACGGCCGCTCCCCACCTACCCCCTCCCGCCCTCCTGCAGAGCAGCAGCAGGCAACTTCGGCGTGACGCTCGGCAGCGCGGGCAAGGCTAGTGGCATGGCGCCAGCAGCGCGCCTGGCGGTTTACAAGGTGTTCTGGATGAGCCGCGGGGACCAGTTCGCCACCGAGGCCGACATCGTGGCCGCCACCAACCAGGCCGTGGCTGACGGGGTGGATGTGATCTCGCTCTCGCTGGGCGGCAGCAGCGCGGACGCCACCTACTTCGATGATATCCCGTTTCTGAATGCCAACACGGCGGGCGTGTTTGTGGCGTTTGCTGCTGGCAACTCCGGCCGGCCCAGCGGGACGAGCGGGTTCAACACGTACCGCACCATCAGCAACTTCTCGCCCTTCTACCTCACTGTGGGAGCCAGGTATGCAGCAGCACCATTTCCCCTCTGCTTTTCCCCCTTCCTCCTCTAGCCCTGCTCTCTCCTGCCCAATTCTGTGTTCGTTTGCACACTATGAGGTCACAATGAATCCCTCTACTCTCTCTGTCTCTTTCTCCGTCCCAGTATCGAGAGTCACCCCGCTTGTGTCGCCTGTGTCCCCTTCCCCTGCAGCTCCATTCAAAGGGGAGGCGCCTCCCTCGTCAGACGGGCAACCAGAAAAGCAGCCTCCACAACTGCTGCTGCTTCAACTGCTGCGAACAATTCCAGGACAACGCAATCCGCCACAGCAGCAGTCGTCCCCGCCACCACCAAGCCCACCAGCTCTGCCAAATCAAACCCCACAGCCACACCTGTCAGACCCGCTCAATCCGCCGCCCCCACAGTCGCCACCTTCTCGTCCTCGGGCCCGCTAGTGCGGCCGTGGACGGTGTCCCAGGGCGCGGAGGCCACCAACGCCATCCTCAAGCCCGACATCATCGGCCCGGGCGTGGCGCTCTTCTCCGCATGGGTTGGTTCCGACGTGGGCAGCAAAGGGAGTTATGCGCAGCTGTCGGGGACGTCGATGGCAACGCCTCACCTGGCGGGCATTGCTGCTCTCATCATGCAGAAGTACCCCTCGTGGAGCCCGGCGCAGGTCATGTCCGCCATCATGACCACCGCCATCACCACTAACACCGCCGGAACCGCCATCAAGAACGCATATGGATCAGTGGCAACGCCGTGGGAGATAGGCGCAGGCCACGTGTACGTGCCCAAGGTGCTGGACCCCGGACTCACCTATGACGCAAGGCAAGCCCATTACAGGAATTTTCTCGCAGGCATGAGCACCGCATTGGCCCAGCAGGAGTTTCCCGGGGCTCAACTATCACCCATTGCTCCCCGCAACCTCAACCGAGCCACCGTCTCAGTAGCGCGCTTGAGAGGGTCGGTGATGGTCAAACGAACTGTTACAAATGTGGCAGGTTCGGCATCAACTTATACGGCTAAGATTACAGCTCCTCCTGGGGTGTCTGTAATTGTGAACCCTAAGAGCTTCTCGATACAACCAGGAGCCAAGGCGACATACAGATTGAGACTGACAGTTACAAGAGTGTTTGACAGCTTCCAGTTTGGGAGCATTACTTGGACGGATGGCAAGGGGCACTCGGTAAGGTCAGTGCTTGCTGTTCAACCATCAAGCTTGTCATAGAGAAGGTTATGAATGCAACCAAGCCAGCACAATCATTATTGTATGTATAAAGCCAGGTTCTTGTCAAACATGTTTAGTTATCATGCTTGTATAGACTGTATAGGGTTATCTTCTAGAGAGTACAACATTTAGGTATATGTTTGTGTACTCTCTCTCTCTATTCATCAATTTCACTGTGTGTTATGGAATCACGCGTAGGTAGGATCCCCCCCCCCCCCCCCCCCTCACGCTTCCGCTCGCCCCTAGCTGGGCCCCGTCGTGCTCCTAGCCCCGTCGCGACCCTCCCTAGCCCCGTCGCGACCCTCCCTAGCCCCGTCGCGACCCTCCCTAGCCCCGTCGCGCCCCTTCCTGGGCCCCGTTGCGCCCCTTTCTGGGCCCCGTCGCGCTCCTCCCAGGCCTCGTAGCGCCCCTCCTGGGCCCCATTGCGCTCCTCCCAGGCCCCGTCGCGCCCCTTCCAGGGCTTCGTAGCGCCCCTCCAGGCCCCGTCGCGCCCCTTTCAGGGCTTCGTAGCGCCCCTCCAGGCCCCGTCGCGCCCCTTCCAGGGCCTGGTAGCGCCCCTCCAGGGCCCCGTCGCGCTCCTCCCAGGCCCCGTAGCGCCCCTCCTGGGCCCCATTGCGCTCCTCCCAGGCCCCGTCGCGCCCCTCCCTAGCCCAGTCGCGCTCCTCCCAGGCCCCGTAGCGCCCCTCCTGGCCCCCATTGCGCTCCCCCCAGGCCCCGTCGCGCCCCTACCTGGGCTTGGTAACGCCCCTCCAGGCCCCGTCGCGCCCCTACCCATCCCCGTTGCCCCTGCTCGGCCCCGTCGCCCCTGCTCGGCCCCGTCGCCCCTGCTCGGCCCCGTCGCCCCTGCTCGGCCCCGTCGCCCCTGCTCGGGCCCGTCGCGGCCTATCGGCCGCGTGGCGCCCGCCCGGCCCCTGTCGCGGCTGCCCGGCCCTGTCGCACCTGCCCGGCCCCTGCTCGCCCGCCCGGCCCCGTCGCCCCTGCCCGGCCCTGCTGTGGCCTGCCCGGGCCCCGTCCCTGCCGCCCGGCCCCGTCGCTGCCGCCCGGCCCCGTCGCAGCCGCCCGGCCCTGTCGCAGCCGCCCGGCCACGTCGCAGCCGCCCGGCCACGTCGCAGCCGCCCGGCCACGTCGCAGCCGCCCGGCCACGTCGCAGCCGCCCGGCCCCGTCGCCCCTGCCCGGCCCTGCTGTGTCCGGCCCGGCCTCGTCCCTGCCGCCCGGCCCCGTCGCAGCCGCCCGGCCCCGTCGCAGCCGCCCGGCCCCGTCGCAGCCGCCCGGCCACGTCGCAGCCGCCCGGCCTTGTCGCTGCCGCCCGGCCCCGTCGCCGCCGCCCGGCCCCGTCGCAGCCGCCCGGCCCCGTCGCCGCCGCCCGGCCTTGTCGTGCCTGCCCGGCCCCAACGCACCTGCCCCGGCCCTCCATACTTCCTGGTACTGTCCCCCGTTCCCCGCACCACTTTGCACCCTCCTGCACTTTCCTGCCCCGCCTTGCATCGCATTGCACCTCACTGGATCGCACTGACCGCACTGCACCGCACTGGACCGCACTGCACCGCACTGCATCGCACTGCACCGCACTGGACCGCACTGCACCGCACTGCATCGCACTGCACCGCACTGCACTGTCCTCCACTGCCCCTCATGGCTGCTGAGCTTCGTTTTGATGTTGAGGGTCAGCCTCTGGAGTTCGAGGCGTGGTTGGCTGACCTTCGCCGCCACCTCACTGGCCAGCGGCAGGACGGCCACCCGCTTTCTGCACACCTAGACGGTATGCTCCCCTGCCCTGACCCCCCTGCTGTGCTGCCCGCTGATCCCACGCCCGCTGAGCGCGAGTCCACTGCCGCTGCTGCCCTTGCCCGCTCTGTCTGGCTTTCCCGCGATGCCCTTGCTCAGCTCGCCATTAGCAATGCCCTCCCCCCCACTGAGCGCCCTCGCTTTAGAACCATTCCTACCGCCCAGGCCTACCTCGATGCTGTCATCAAGCGCTATTCTACCCCTCCTGCTGCCTCAGTGGGTCGCCTGATCCTTCCCCTGCTCTTTCCTGACCTGGCGTCTTTCCCCACTGTCTCTGACCTCGCTGCCCACCTGCGCTCGATAGATGAGGCCTGGCGCGCTGCCTGCACTGATGCTCAGCTTAGAGTCCACCAGCCTCCCATGACCTCTACCCTCTACCTCCTTGCCACCCGCCTACCTGACCGCCTTGCCGCCGCCCGCGACCAGTTCCTTAGCATCCACCTCACCCTCACCGACTTTGTTGACACCCTGACTGCCATAGAGACTCGTCACCGCTCCATAGCCCTGGCGAGCGGTACAGTACCGGTCCCTATCTTTCAGGGTTGTGCCCCCGCTCAGTGTACCTTCTCCGACGGCTCTGTCGCTGTGGCTGAGACTGCTGCTGCAGTGCAGTCCCGCTCGGCGAAGGGCCGCCGCCCCAAGGTTGGGAGCGGCGGAGGCAGCGGGGGTGCGGGTGGGGGTAGTGGTGGAGGCGGGTCGTCCGGTGCCAGTGCGGACGTGGGGACCCTGCCCGGTCCAGCTGCCCCGCTGCCTCCACAGTTGCAGCAGCCGCAGCAGCAGCAGTCGCCGCAGCCGCAGCCTTCGCAGCAGCCGCAGCAGCCGCCGCAGACGAGGCAGGCGAGTACTCTCCCACCTGGGTGGCCTGGAGCTAGTGGTGGTCGTGCGCGTGGTGGTGCACCGGGTGGTGGTTCTGGAGGCGGGCCCTGTCAGTACCAGATCCAGACCGGTCCTCGCCGCGGCTTCGTTTGCGGTAAGATCGGTCATTCTACTCCTCGCTGTTTTCGTCGCCTGGACGACCTGTTCCGCCAGCGCTTTGGCCCGGCGCCCGACCTCCCGGACTGGCACAGCTTGCTTAGGCGTAGCGTTAGGATTTTTGACTTGGACATGGATGCCATTGTAGCGGCCTTGCATGTGATGTATGCTGATGACTCTAGTGTGCTTCCCTCTTATTACCCCGTGTTGCCTAGTGTAGCGGTGCCTAGCGTAGACTCCCCTGCTGCGTCAGGCGTAGGATCTCCTGCTTTGCTTAGCCTTGGTGCTTCCACCGCTTCACTGCTGCCTCACGCGACTGCTGCGCTTTCCTTCACCTTGGACTCTGGCGCCTCCCGGTGTTTCTTCCGCGACTCCACGACGCTGACGCCGCTGCCTGTTCTCGCTGCAGTTACTCTTGCTGACCCCTCCGGTGGTCCCGTCGTTGCCCGCAGTTCCACCTCCCTTCCCTGTCCGGCGGTTCCTTCGGGCACTCTCACAGGTCTGCATATCCCCTCGTTCTCCAGGAACCTAGTTGGTGTCGGCTGCCTCCAGGACCTTGGCGTCACCACTACGTTCCCTGGTCACGAGCGGTATGCTGTCTGTACCGAGGCCGCCACTGGTGCCCCCCTTACCACTTTCCCCCGGGACCCGGTGTCCGGCCTGTTCACACTTGACACCGCGCCGTCCCCGGCTGGGTCTTCCCCCCCGGTAGTTGCGTCCACCCAGGTTGCAGCCGCGTGCTCCTGTCGGTCCCTCACTCACCCGACTCTCCTTTGGCACCACCGCCTTGGTCACCCTGCACTCCCACGTCTGCGTCACATGTCCCAGCACGGTCTCGTCCTTGGTCTCCCCGGTTCGTTCCCCGAGTTTCCCTCCTCCCCCGCCCCACCGTGCACGCCTTGTGTCGAGGGCCGGCTCCGCCGTGCCCCTCACTCCTCCTCTTTTCCCCCTACCACCGCACCACTGCAGACTCTGCACATGGACGTCTGGGGCCCAGCCCCGGTCCATGGGCCGCGTCGCGAGCGCTTCTTCCTAGTGCTTGTCGACGACTTCACGCGCTACACCACCGTCTTCCCCCTGGAGCGGAAGGCCGACGTGCCTGACGTTCTCATCCCCTGGCTTGTCTCTGCTCGTGTCCACCGCGGTCTCCCTGCCTTGCGCCTTCACTCCGACCGGGGTGGCGAGTTTGCCTCAGGTGTCCTTGGTCGCTTCTGTCGTGCGGAGGGCATCACCCAGACGTTTACCCTGCCGGACTCCCCGCAGCAGAATGGGGTCGCTGAGCGACGCATCGGTTTGGTCATGGAGGTGGCTCGCACCTCCATGATCCACGCCGGTGCACCCCATTTTCTGTGGCCGTTCGCCGTGTGCTATGCCGCTCACCAGCTTAACCTGTGGCCGCACCCCCAGCGGCCGCAGGTTTCGCCGACCCTTCTGTGGACCGGGTCCCCTGGTGACGCGTCTGCGTTCCGCGTCTGGGGCTGCCTTGCTCACGTTCGTGCCTCTGGCACGGACAAGCTCACTGCCCGCACCCTCCCCTGCGTCTTCCTCGGTTTCCCCCTTGACGCGTCCGACTGGCACTTCTACCACCCGCCGTCTCACCGCTTCTTTCACTCTCGCGATGTCACCTTTGACGAGTCCGTCTCCTTCTACCGCCGCTTTCCCCACCGTGGTCCCCCGGTTACTCCCCCCCTTTTCCTGGTTCCTCCCTCCCTGGTGGTCCCTGCCCCTCCCCCCCCCCGCCCCCCGTTCGGCCCCCTCTGGTGTGTCTCACGTCACCCCCCTCCCGTCGGTCGTCCCGGTCGACGAGTCTTCTGACTCTGGTAGTCCTCCGGCGCAGTCCTCGCCGTCTGTCCCTCCCCCGGTGTCTCCTCCTCCACCGCCTCCGCAGCCGCCGTCGCCGCAGCTGCTGCAGCCGTCGTCTCCACCGCCGCCGCCGTTGCAGCCGTCGTCACCGCCGCCGCCGCCGTCGCAGCCGTCGCTGCAGCCGCCGCCGCTGCCGCCGCTGTCGTCGCTGCCGCCGTTTGTGGACTCTGGGGGTGTCCCTTCTGGGGGTGCAGGTGTGGAGGGTTCGGGAGGTAGCCGTCGCGCAGCTTGTGGCCCTGGTGTTGGTGTTGTGTCGCCGCAGCAGCAGCCCCCGCCTGTGTCCGCCCTCCGTCTGCTCGGCCTTCCGTCTCCTGACCCTGCGCCTGTTCCTCTCCTGCCGTCTCCCCTCTTCCCGTCTACGGCCCCGTGTTCCCTCTGCCAGACTCGTCCCCGGCTCGTCTTCCCCCTCGTTCCCCTCCTGTGTCCCCTCCTTTGTCTCCTGACCCGACGCCGCCTCACACGTCTGGTCTCGCCGCCCTCTCGTGCTCGTCCTGTCTCCCCTGTCCCGCGCTCTCACCCTATGTTGCTCCGTTCCCATGCGTCTC